GCCATCTATCAAGTGGTAGTGTGTAAGCAGGGAGAGATGCCTCCCCCTCACTCCTCACCCCTCACCACATAAAGCAGACTAGGTAGTTGACCCCCCCCCTTACCAGCTGCAACACTCAGGAAAGTGGCCCCTGCACCTCTTCTGGGTAGCACAACAGAGCTGACCCTGTTGGCCAGGACCCCGGCGAACAGACCCTAGATCCATTCCTCGTTTGTCTTATAGTGGCAGGGGAAAAGAGAGACTCCCCTCTCCACTTCTTGCAGGGAGAGCCGGCCCTGAGTTCCTACGAGTAGGAGAGCTGTCCCTGCGCCACACCAGCTGTAGCATTTGGGAGAATGCCCCTGCACCTCACCTGGGCAACACAGCAGATCTGGCCCTGATGGTGTAGGTGTAGGTGAGTCGACCCTGAGGGCATAAAAGCAGGAGAACCTCCCCACTCCATGATCCTACTGCATAGGACGAACTATCAGGGCAATGCTAAAGAGCTCACCCTGGTAGTGAGGACCGGGGAGAGCTAGTGGGCTGACCAACCCTTCAAATACCCAGGATCAGAACCAAGGTTGAGTTGTTCCACCCCAACATCCACCCCATCTTTGATCTGCTGGAGCATGAGACGGGGCCAGTCCTGCCGAACCATAGCCACAGAAGCTCCATGACTCAGGGCAACAACAGGATATCCAAGAGGAGCCCCAGTGAGGGTCCAGTATTGATGGTGTAACAGAAACCACAGCCTCAAATCAGACCAATGACTCTGCAACAAACACTTGCAAGTCAATATATGGGAACAAAGGGTATAAACTGCCACACTACCACTTCCATGATGAGATTTTTCTTTTTCAATTTTCTCTTGAGTTTTATTTTATTTTATTGGCAGGGGAGGGAGGTTGCAAGGGCAGAGAGCAGACACAAAGGAACAGGGAGATGAATGTGAACCAGATGCATAATGGGAAAGACACGAAATAAATAAAAAGAAAGTTCTAGAAAAGGACATTAACAGCTCATTTAGTTGATTGACTGGAACTCAGCTGAAAAGATGGTGACCTACTATAAGCAAGTTGTGGGAGTGTCTGATATGCCCCGAGTCTGATATTCCTCAGAAGGAATCTGAAGGCCATACACTCCTGGGCTTGGTCCCTGCCTCCAAGGGCTAAGGCCTTTGGCCTGAGACTACACCACACACTAACGGGGTTCCAGCATCTCCATTATGCAGTTACTTTGTCATGTGACTACTCAGCCTCTGTAATCACTTGATTCAGTCTCCCTAATTGATCCTCTCCTGTATATCTCTCTCTAGTGTGAGAAACAAGGCCCCCCCACACACTCTCTCTAATAACACACTCAAGACACTTCAAATAGCAAAAGCCTGGCCGTTCTGTTTTTATTTCTTCTGAACAATTCACCAACCCAAAGAAAGGTCAATACACACTCTCTCTCTAATAACACACTCAAGACACTTCAAATAGCAAAAGCCTGGCCATTCTGTTTTTATTTCTTCTGAACAATTCACCAACCCAAAGAAAGGTCAATGAAGCTGACATAAATTTAGCATGAAATAGTGCTGTTGTTTTTTTTTTAATAATCCTAAACAGAATCCTTTGCTCTCTCTCTGTCATTGGCTGGGTGCTTCTGGGGGAACAATCTTGCAAATTTGTTTAGTTTTTTTGGTTTTTGGGTTTTTTTTCTAGTTTAAGTTCTGTTCTCTGAAAACTCAAAATCTTATCTACTGTACATCCTGGAGCTCGAAAGCACCTCTTCCTCCCTGATACATGAGCTCAGTCATGTAGCAATCTGCAATGTTTTAGCCCTAAGATAAACTAAGAGTGCCCGGGGAAGCAGGCACCAGCTGCTAGAAAGGGCAGGGCCCTGTGCCTCCTGCCTATTTAAGGTCTGGTACATTTACATCTGTCACATTGACCTCTGATTTAGGGAATGTTCCATTTTCATTTCTTTCTCCTACCCATCTATCATCACTTCCTATTGGTTGTGCCTCTTGGATGAACCCAGAATGATATAGGCTCACCAGGAGAAGCCACTTTATCAAGCTCGTATGGCAATTGAATTAGCATCGGTAACATCAACTAGTAAAACTGATCACGTCCTGTTTACCCAATTAATAAACAAAATGTGGTTGGTAGCCAGTCCTGCATTCTGCTTTCTGCCTTCCAGAGTTAATTACCCAGTTCTACTGAGAAAGGATTGAGGAAGAAAGCACTAGAAATTGTTCTTTGTCCTTGGCACCATTTAATTGTTTTAATCTACATGATGCTTTTTTAAAACTATTTTTCTTTATCCTTGAGACCTTTATGAATGTGTACAACAGAATATGATCATATCTGTCGGGGCCCCAGCTTGTATCAGTCCCATGCTACAGAGGCCACAGGGTCTGGCCTACACCAGTCCCACACTACAGAGGCCATGGGGTTCGTCCCTGAGTGTGGGCAGGGGCTGGACCTGGAAACTCCTAGCTACCCAACATCCATAAAGACCAGACACACAGACATCTTGTTATTTCAGAAGGACTCTCAGTCCACGCTGGAAACTGGAGACTCTGGTTTATTCTAGCATTCTCCTAAATTGCTTTCCAATAGTCAGGGTGACCGAAGAGAACACCTACCATCAAGTCATTCTTTTAACCCTAGCGGTACACCTAAAAAGAGTCCCAAGCGTGTAGACAAAGCCTTCAGCCCAGGTGTGTCACATTCAGGGGCTAGACCTGTTCTAATACAAACTAGGGAACATTCTCCACTGAGGCCATGCCATCAGGCAGCAATTAGCCAGCATCAGCAATACAATGGAGATTCAGTCTCTAGAAAATTGGAGAAGAGATTTGGACCCCTAGAAACTTTATAATAGATAATTTTTGGTTCCCTACACACCCTCAGTTTTCTTCCTCAAAATCCCCCCATCCTCTCAACTTTATTTGCAAGCACAAAAATCAAGTGAAACAATTCTGATTTATTGTAAAAATGCCAGCTGAATTATGCATAAGGAGATCACAAGCACATTTTACTACTCTAGTACACGGTGGGTAGACAAACAGTGAAGCAAGAAATTATGGCTGTATGAACATATGAAGATTTATAAAAGTGTGCCTACCATCTTCTCTGTGTATGTTCAAGGGGAAGATAACTGATCCCCAAATAGATTTTTCAATGTCTGATTGGGTTCTGTTAGCTAGGTTATGAACTTTTTTTACCTTCTTTTAAAATCTAAACAACAGCAACAAAGTCATTTTCTCAGTTGTTTTTCTTTACTACCTCCTATTCACAGTCTCTCTAAGCACTTTTGCAAATGTTCCCTCTGCCCACCCCACCCCAATCCCTCTTCATAGTTTGCATTCATTTAGGATTGCTGTTTTCTCCTTTTTCCCAAGCCAACGTGTACAGTCTCTGGTGATTAGTTATTAATTAATTATTTTCTCTTTGCTTAACTTCCTCCACCATATGCTACCTGCTGTCTGATCTTTTGTAATGACCAATTGTTATGCTTTCTGGATTTGATACTTTCTTTGCCCTTCTAAGTATAGGAGTTTAACTTGCCTTAATTCTATCTCAAAATAGTTCTCCTAGCATTTTGATCTTTTTCTTTTAATAATGATCACCCTTACAACCATCTAAGAATTAAAGTCTAAGACTAATCTTATATATTTAGTTTGCCTCTGGTACTCTTCCACCATCAGATTTCCATATTACTGCTTTCCTTCCCCACAAAGTTATTAATATTCAGTTTTATTAAAGACTCAAACACTCAATATATCAGTCAACTATTGTCTGTTTAGCTATCTTTTAAGGTGTTAACAACTTGAACTAATTTCCTCTTTGGTCCTTTGATGTAGGATCCTGTGTAGCCTAGGTTGGCTTCTAACTCACTGTGTAACAGAGGCTGGCCTTGTACTGGGATTCTAGGCATACATGCCCAGACCTACCAAATTTGTAGTAGATATTTATCTACATGTGTTTTACATAACCTCTTCTTGCCATTTCCATTGACTACTTTTCAATTCATCTTCATCAATTTATTCGTCATTCATCACATATCTAGCTGAATGATATATACACTTAGAATGTCCTTGATTTTACCTATTCATCTTATTAGACTGAATGACTTAATAGCATTCCCTGTTCCCTATTGGTAAACATCATTGAACAATGACTTTATTAGTGAATTACTGATGGATCAGAAAATATACAATTTTTGTAAAATTTTGTGTCTTTGAAAAAGCCATTTTATCACTGGGATTCAAAATATTTCCATATAAAAATTATATACAATGTTAAAAACATATTTCTAGGTAGGGGTGGATAATAGTAGATACATATCATGCCCAACTATCGCTGATGAGAATTCTATGAACAACTAAAAGAATTACCTGATTTTCTAAGTTTAGTTAATTCCTCAGCATATTTCCTCCTTGTTTTCCTTTTGTTCATGGTCGTAGACATACAATATAAGCTAACTTATTCCTTGATGATTTTCCAGAACGAATGATTGTGAGATTGTGACACAAAAATTAGAAAATTGGAATGGACACTATCCACAAATAGGGGATATTTAGAGATCAGAAACAGCACACTAAAACATTGGCACCAGAGAATAATTGTAAAACTGGCAGAAAGTGGAGCAATTACTAATTTTGCCGTAATTTTGTAAAAGTCTTTCAGGATTCTACTGTGAATCAGATTGTTCTGGTCCCCTGATTCTTATGAACCAACAGGAGAAGACGTTTCGCCTTTGTCTTCCAACTCACTGTAAATTGGTGAATAAACATTTAGTTCTTCATAAAGACGATCATCTGTGACCTGAGAAAGAAAAAAATCATCCTGTATCAATTACCCAGAACTCTCCATTTCTAGAAAGTTTATCACACAGGAATTTCTTCTTTTGTCTTTTTTGAATTTCACCCTACCTCTCATGACAAATTATTTCCTTAACATCTAGAAGGCAAATCAGATGGCCTGGCCAATGGGGGCTAAAAGAAATCACATCAGTGACAAGTTGCTAAGGTTACTCTGTATCTGAAATGTTTATCTTCTGACTCAGGACAGTGATCCTAAGACGTGTAGAGACTGGAGTGTGTCTAATGAAAATAGATGGTGAGCAGTAGGTTACATAAGTCAGAGTTGAGTTAGTATAGTGGTTGAGAATTGGAAATTCCCACCAAGGATATAATGAATGTGTGCAGCAGGTGAAAGCACAGTTGTCACTATGAACCAAGAGGAAAAGAAAACTCAAGGCTTTTTTAGAGCAATTGACAGAGGGAAGAAAAATCACATTGCTGGGGGGAGTAAGAGAAGGCAGAAACAAACAAGCTCTTTGGGAACAAAAATGAAGAGTAAACCCTAACACATGCATGTTTCCATCACACACTTCTCACAGTGACCCCTTCAAAGCACCCACAATGTCTATAATTATAAAGATTCCATTTGTCTAATCCTCAAGGGACTGTGCTATGATCATGTGATATTTCAGTTTCATAATAATAAGATTTCCAAAGTGAGATTTGCAATCCAGTTTTTGAGAGGTAGTTTTTCAGGAAAAAAAGTTGCAGAAAATTAAGGCCATATTTTAAAAGAATAAAGCACAAACTCTTTAGCATGCTATTCAGGAGTTCCTACTGACCTTATTACTCTTGAATGCTTCTCCAATCCTATAGATAGTGTGCAACACAGCACTGCAAAAGGCCAGCATGGTGAGGAACAGCATCATCGACACCATTTCCTGTCAGACAGCAACCAACCAACAGGCAAAGTCACAGACAGATGTACCCCCAAATCCCTTCCCTTACAGAAGCTCCCTCTTCCAGCCCCTCCCTCAGGAGCACACCTTATAAACTGACACATGAATAGGAAGCCATTAGGTGACTACTTGGAGATGATAAGGCTAAGCTTAAGGAAAGTGGCTATGGAACCCTCAAAGTTCATAGCTCTATATTATGAGATGTAAACTCCAAATGGGGAATTGTGTCTCTGGAAAAAGAAATGGGGTTTCACACTTAGGTTAGGACCCAGAGATCCAGTGTATTCACAAGCGATACATACTGTGATGAAAGCAGTCACAAAGCAGCCATCGTCCTCATTTAGATCCTTACAATATTTCAGATAGGTGGAATTGTGGCTCAGGTTGAGGATCAGGATGATGATCCCTATTCCCGAAGCAATGCTGCTGACAATGTTTGCTCCCAGGCTTCCTCTCGCCTGCTGGCAGAAGAACAATCAGCTCTGGGGCTGTGAGTGGCAGCTGCCAATCAACTGATCTGTCTTTCAGAGCTGGTCCTGCACAGTAATTCAAAGCTGTCTAAAATTCCAGTGAACTAAGGAACTCTTGCAAATGTACTCATCATCTGGCAGACATTCGTTTCCCTATCCGATGCCTTCAAGAATAGCATTTGGGCTGCGGATGTAACTCAGCAGAGGACCACAGGGTTAAGCATTGCAGAAGGTCAAGAGCTCAATGCAAAGCATAAAAAAAAAGACACACCCATGCATAGACTACCCTTAAGTCATCTCTGTTGGAAACTAATTGTATAGCCATAAGACTATTTAAATATGTACGAAGACAATACCTGTGTGGGTCCCCTTTAAATAGTGTCAAGACAATCAAATTTCACTGCTTATTAAGTGACACAATTTATGTTTCTAATGATTTTATCCAACTTTTTGCTGTAAAAAGCCAAGCACAAAGGGATTGAGGTAAACCACATATCCGAACTCTGTAACACAGCTGATACTGGTGGGTCTCCCTTAACACCCCTGAAATTCCATTTGTCTTCCCTTGGAAGAATGAATAAAAGCGACTCACCAGATACAGTGTATTTTTCCTTTCAGACATAACTGACAAAAATCCAGACAAAACAAACTGTCCGAAAAGAAATGGGAGAGAAAGGAAAGTGAGTATCTGCTCTCTGGAACATTCCTTCCTCTGCCCTTGAAGTACAAGATCAAGCTTTGGGTGCTCATACTAAAACCTCCCACGAGACCAGTACTCATTATGAATTCCTATAAAATGCTTCTCAAAGTCAACTGCTTATACAAACCATGCGAAAGCCCTGAGAAAATGCAGGGTCTGAACTGAGTGTGAGGCCACATGCCTGTGATCCTAGCACTCAAGAGGCTGAAGAAGGAAGGTTGTAAGTCTGAGGGAAGCCTGAGCTACTCTGTGAGAAAAAGAAGAAAAAAAAAAAGAAGCATGCAGACTCTTACTTATTAGGTCTTAAATGGGACCCGTGGCTCTTCATTTTTGCAAGGCTCCCGTGTGAGGCTACATTTGATACTTCCTGGGTAGACAGCAGGGCTAGCGATATCTGATGTACAACTGCAGTAGCAGTCTCATTTGTTGTAATGCTTTGTTCATATGTCCTGTCTTATACTGTCAGCTCCCCCAGGCCAGACACCTGTATCCATGCTGTGCATACCTATGGAGTCTGCTCAGTAGCACATGGTCATATAGTTATTACATATTCCATAAAGTAAATATAGAAAATTTAGTAAAAGTAAAAACTCAGAACACTCTCTAAGAAACTGAGATTTGTGTGTCCAGGGGCACTTAAAGAGCTAAATATTTGAGCCTATGAGATAGTTCAGCAGGTAGAAGTACTTGTAACACAACTCAGACTCAATGACTTGAGTTCAGTTCCTAGACTGCACAAGGTAGCAAGAGAGAAATGACATCCTAGGATTGCACACACAGAGAGAGAAAGAGAGATTAAACAAATAAGTTTTAAAGCTAAATATTGGGAAATAAAAAGAAAGTTCAAGGAAAATATGGTAGATGGTCAAGAAGGTTCTTAACCAAGTGACCAAGGACTCTGTGAACCACATGCTTAGCAGTGTATGGAACCAATGTGGTGTTTTTCTTAGATCTAAATCTATGTCTATAACTGAATTATCAATAAACGTAATACACAATAACGATGTGGAATGAAGGAAGACAGGTATTCGAGACATTGCAGCATGCAATTCTGTTTCTACAGAGCTCTGAAAATGGAAAACTTTCAGTTACAGTGGTTGCTTCAGGGAGCACAAAGACAGAGGGCAAACGTAACTTTGAAAATCATAGACAGGCTTATTGTACTGAGGGTGACATGTGGGCTGTGTGTGTGTGTGTGTGTGTGTGTGTGTGTGAAATTTTATCAAATTCTACACCTTCTACACACAGAATTCTTCTATGCACAGAATTCCTCTTTACACAGAACGTGCTCTCATTCCGCCACTGTTTTCCAGATAGTAGAATGTGTAAAAAAGAATCCAGTACATGAGTGGCCAAAAGTATGTCAAGGGTTCAACAGATATCCATCCAGTATTTTTCTCCCCCAAGCGATATTTCCCCCTCCCTTCTCAAAGACATCCTTTTATGCCATTGTGGGTTTGTTTTTTATTTAAATTAAAAATAATCTTATTTTATATATCAATCCCCATTCCCTCTCCCTCGCATTCTCCCATTCCCCCCACCGACCCCCCTCTCATCCCTCTTCTGCTCCACAGAAAGAGTGAGGCCTTCTATGCGGGATCATCAAAGTCTGCCACATCATTTGGGGCAGGGCCATTGTGGGTTTTCTAAGATTTTTTTAAATTGTATTTGCAAGTTTATGTGTATGTCTGTGTATGTGTACGCCACATGTGTACACATGCTCAAGACCAGAGAAGGTCCTTATCCCCTTGAGCTGGAGTTACAGGCAGGCATGAGCACTTGACATGGTCCTGGGATCTGAACTCATGTCCTGTGTAAGAGCAGCAAGCACTTAACTACCAAGGCCTCTCTCCAGACTTAACTTTGTTTTTGATAATGAATAAAATATATGTACTTAGCATGTACTTTTATTGATAGTATTATAGCACTTTTTAGAATACAAATCTTAGGTTAATCATTCAACTTCTTAAATATTAATGTATTGTTCTTTTACAATTTCATACAGTCTTAAATTTTTCAGTCAACAAGTATGCTAATGGTTTAAACTTCATCTAAGGGTGATAAGAATCTTATGTTCTTGTTAATAAGTTATATGTGGAGAGAGCTTTGGAAACTGCATTTATAGATGCTATATGCATACAAGTGAAAAACTGTAGATTTTATCAAAGTACTAGAGAAATATGGTTAGACTTGATTAAAAGAAAACCTGTGATCAGCATTATTTCAGAAACAACTACTTATGTGTTCTCACCAGCACTGGTCCCCAGAATGGATAGCCTGTTCTATACAATAGAAGCACTTCGTCATCAAAGTCTGAAATGTGCACTGAGGAGTAGAAAATTGTCCCAAAACAAAGGCATACCAAACCAGCCAGAATTTGTGTTACCTGCAGAAGACATGAATTTTATAAAATTAGGATATAGTTTCTCAAGACTGTACCAGTTTCTCTGTAAGTAAGACCGAAAATGGAAACATCTCTTTAGTGTCTTAGGTCTTCCTAAGATTGAACCACATGTGAGACTTTTCTACTCTCTTCTATTTACTATATTAAAAAATGGAACCGTAACTAGTAGGCTCTAATGCATTCATGGTTGATACATGTCACACATCTTTATTTACATAGTTATGATGGACATAAGCAACTGTTCTTTCTAATTAACAACAGACACTGTGTATCTATCCTTCGTTTCTGTTCTCCATTCATGTTCCAGTAACTTAGTGTCTTCATGAGAAAATGCTTCTCTCTTCCCAGAATGTGCAGAGTGCCATCAATTCCTCACCTATCAAGAACATTACAGGACATCAGCCCACAAGAGGAAATGTTAATACATCCAAACTCTTTCCTAGAGGCAGCCTGAATTTGAGTTGAGAATGGCGGCAAGGAACTCACCCCCAGGAACTCCAAATCACTCTTCAAAACTGTCTGCCATGTCTGCTGTGGTGGGGGTGGCGCTGGCTTCGCTGGCAGAGCTTCAGCGGCAGGAGATACTTCCAAGAGCTCAATGTCAGGCGCACTGAAATTTACAAAATTTCAATCATCTCAACTGCCTGTGTGAAGTTGTTAACTGTCAGAACTGAGAGTGTTATCTGTTAATTGTTTTTTCAAAAGAAATCAGCAGTTGAACTTTTTGGTGTAGTCCTGAGAAGAACACACCAAGAGCCAAAAACCACAGACATTCGAATATTATCCAAGTGTTTACATAGAACAGAAGAGAAGAAAAACCATGCCTCATGCTCTTGTTCATCCCAGGTTACCCTAAGTTCCTTCTATCAATCTCTATAATTAAACAAAATCAACCAAATAGTTTGTAGACTTCAAAGTCATTTTAGCATAGAAATATATATGCATGCATTTTGTCAATGCCCACAACTTCATACCCAGAGGACTGCTTTGGAGCTCAGTCTCCATTCCTATTTTAATCTTGGGTGGAAGATCCCATGCCCTAAGTTTCACAAAGGCCAACCTGGGATGCAGTCATCATAGAAAGCCTCTGGCCCCTAAAACACATCTGACAGAGTCAAGAGATACGTATGTTCAAACTTCCTACTACCCGAAACTACAAGTCTCTAATGTTAGAAAATCCGGTAACCCCAGTTTTCAAGCTAAGCAAAAACCTTGCTGCCAACTGCTGAGAGAAAAAGGCACTAAGAATGTATAGTCCACATGGTTAAGTAACTTACTTGAGTCTGTGCACAAATCTATGAATTGGAATCTGTGAATTTCTTTGTCTTGATAAATAACTTCAGTGGAAATAGCAATAGTCTTTACTTACCTGGGAGATTCTTGTGGGTTTGGGAGAGCAAGATCTGCTCTGCTCTTATTTTCTGCATCCATTTTTTCATGAATTAAGCTACTCAGGAATGAAGGAGATGTGTTACTGTTACTCGGAGATGTGATGTGCTCTGGGTGGGCAGTTAAGATGGGTTGACTCTGAATACAAATGGTTATCTTCATGCAGATAAGTCTTCCAGCTGATTGATATCACTGGTTCTTTTCTCTTGCTACAGTGGAAAGTAATAAGACTGAGATATCTACTGAATAGAGAACAGGATGAAATGGAGAAACATGAGCATTTTAGAGCATAATTCCACCTAAAACATGCAAGAGAATATCCTAACTGAGATATTCTACTGAATAGAGAACAGCATGAAATGGAGAAACATGAGCATTTTAGAGCATAATTCCACCTAAAACATGGGATTAATAAAACCTAATATTGAAGCATCTAGGCACTGAGAAGATAAGAGCGCAGAGGTGAAAACAGGCTTGCTCTTAAAAAACTTCATCTGCTATACCTATGTCACAAGTTCTTCAGTGTGGTTTTATGCATGTTTTCAGAACTGCGAGATACTCTGTGTGGTACCCTAATCACCTGAGTTACTTTCTGGGATATAAAATATCCCAAGAGAAATTAAGATATGCATATTAATAGAGGATTCTAGTGTACATATTGCCAAATCTTTCCTAACAAAATTTTACTGCCCCAGCTACTTCTTTCCTCTGTATCTTTGGGAATTAGCAATCTAACAAAAACACTATTTGAATTAAGGGGTAAGTGCTATCTTCTCATTCATTAATACAGAAAGGACTTAATCTTCTTGCTATTGATTGCTCATATCATAGAGAAGTCACTATTGAGGATCATGATCCCAGACTTATCTAGCCCACAGTATTGCAGATGAGAACAAAGAAAAATGATTATCTAGGAGGTCAGAGGCCAGTGACTGCTGGAAAATCAAGAAAGTTACAACAGTGCTGCCTGATGGAGCATGCTAGAGTTCAAAGGCAGAATTGCCAGGCAAGGTGATATTTGAGCCCAGCCTTAAAATGGTTGGCTTAGAAATCTCATTCCCCTATCCAATCCTTGCAAAACTACTCCTCTCCAGGGTAAAGTCCTGAGCGATGTAATGGTCCCTTACAATGTCTCCTAATAGCACATAAAGGTTTTGGGGTTTTTTGTTTGTTTTGGGGTTTTTTTGGGGGGGTGTTTTTTTGTTTTTGTTTTTGTTTTTGTTTTTTTTTTTGATTTTTCGAGACAGGATTTCTCAGTGTAGCTTTGGAGCCTATCCTGGCACTCGCTCTGGAGACCAGGCTGGCCTCGAACTCACAGAGATCCGCCTGCCTCTGCCTCCGGAGTGCTGGGATTAAAGGCATGCGACACCAACACCTGGCCCCTAAAGGTTTATGTTCAGCAACAACAACAACAACAAAAATCAGGAATCCTATTTGAGATTTGAAGAGTTAAGAGACTGAGGGTGTCATTTCTTCTTGTAGCTCTTTCAGTCCTGTCTCCAAGTTGCTAGTACAAGATTTATCCAATTTTGATGTAGGCACTCACTGTAATTAATGTACATTTTAAAACAGAAACATGTCTTGTGTTTTCATCTTCTTTTGATTTCAAAACAATTTTCTTTTTTAATTTAGATTTTCGTCTTTATTTAAATTTTTTCATTTTACATACCAACCCAAGTTCCCCCTCCCTCCCCTTCTCCTTGGTCCCCACCCCCACCCCCTTTCCCAACCCTCATCCACTCCTCAGAGGTGGGTAAGGCCTTCCCTGGAGAGTTAGAAAAGTCTGGCAAGGCCTTCCAGTTTTTTCTTTTCTTAATGTGAGCATTTATTGCTATAGACTTTTCTCTTAGAAATAACTATTATATTCCATAGGATTTTGTATGTTATATTTTAACTTTCATTTAACTACAAACATGTCTAATTGCTTTTTTCTCCATTTTTATTTAAATTAGAAGCAAGATTGTTTTTACATGTCAATCTCAGTTCCCTCTCCCTCTCCTCCTCTGCTGCCCCCCATTAACACCCTATCCCATACCCTTTCTGCCTACTAGGGAGGGTGAGGCCTTCCATGAGGGATCTTAAGAATCTGTCATATCCTTTAGGATAGGGCCTAGGCCCTCCCTCATGTGTCTAGACTGAGAGAGTATCTCTCTATGTGGAATGGGCTCCCAAAGTCCATTCCTATGCTAAGGATAAGTATTGATCTACTAAAAGAGGCCCCATAGATTTCTGAGGCCTCCTCACTGACACCCACGTTCATGGGGATCAGTCCTATGCTGGTTTCCCAGCTATCATTCTGGGGATCATCAGCTCCCCCTTGTTCAGGTCAGCTGTTTCTGTGGGTTTCACCAGACTGGTCTGGACTCCTTTACTCATCGCTCCTCTCTCTGAAACTGGGTTCCAGTTCAGTTCTGTGTTTAGCTGTGGGTGTCTGCTTCTGCTTCCATCAGCTGCTGGATGAAGGCTCTAGGATGGCATATAAGTTAGCCATGAATCTCATTATCAGAGGAGGGCATTTAAGGTAGCCTCTCCTCTGTTGCTTAGATTGTTAGCTTTTTGATTTCTATATTGACACAATTTGTATTCAATACTGAGTTGTACAATTTCCATGCTTGGTATACATTTCTGTTGTTCATAGCCAGCTTCAATGCATGGTGGTCAGATACGATGCAGAATGTTAGTAAAACATTCTTATATCTGTAAATCAATATAAATCTATAAAAAAACAGACTGAGTGTGTCCTTCCACGTTGGGACATAATGCTGCTGTGTGAGAATTGTCAACAGCAACTCATGAAACGCAGATACAGTACTGAAAGGTGACTTATGACCTCCCAATTATTTCACACCCCTGTGTTTAACAACAGCTTCATACTTCCCCTTCCTGAGATGCTTAGCATATTCTGTGCTCATAGCCCCGTTTCTCACAGACTTGTTGTTCCACCTTCCATAGCAGCAAGTATCTGAACATATGATCAAATGACTTCCTTTATTGGTGGGCACTTATCAAGATGAGCTTTAACCATATGTCTGCCTGGAAGGAAGAGATAACAGAGTTAGCATTTCTTCCCCCACCACATAGCATTTGTCCTCTGGCACACATCGCATTTTCAAGTGCTTCTTACCCTGGCTTTCTCTTTAACTATCAAGTTTCTTCATTTGGTTAGTGTAGGGTGAAAAGGGCCAAGGAAAGAAACACCCTGCCTCTAACTAGACCCGAGACTCTGACTCATAGAACCCTACGAGCAGGTCTTGAAATCCCACCAGCTCCTGAGCTTGCTCCAGAATCCGGCTGCAGAATCCCACCATTCCTTGAGGTCCCTGAGCACAAAATCCCACCAATTCCTGAACTGGGCCCAGAATCAGGCTGCAAAAATCTACCAATCCCAAGACACCTTGGAAAGCTCTGCCTGCCCTCCGCCCCCCCCCCAAAAAAAACCTGTATAAAATCTGTACCCTGTTCAGTTTGCTGTTGCTTCTCACCCTAAAGGCAGACACCTCCTGGATTCTTCCTTCCGAATAAATCTCTTGAGCGAGGTTTGTTGTATGGGTAACATTTTTGCCAGAGCAGAGCCCAACTGTAACAACTTTGCCAGAGGCTGGATCAAAGCTCAGGAAAGCAAAACTGTAACACTTTCCTTAAAGTTTCCCAAAGGGGAAACTTTGCTCTAGTGGACCACAATTGTTACACTGTGGGAATGAAGAAGAGTGGAGTCATCCGAGTTGTAACACTTTCACTGGGGAAACTTTCCCCTAGCAGAGTTGTACTTACATTGGGGAAACCTTCCTGGAGCAGAGCTAAAAGCTGCTAAGCTTATATTGTCTTTGTGGTATTCCTTGACTCCTGGCTGCCAGGATAGCTTTCCATCTGAGCTGCAATGCTTAGTTAGATCCTAGATTTTTATTATATTCTTATTTTTCCTAATTTTCATAGAAAGTATTTTCATCATATTCTTTCTCCTCCCCCAAGTCCTCACAGATTCTCCCCACCTCCTGATGGACCCAACTTCATGTTCCTTCTCTCGTTCTCAAAACAAAACACCAAAAATACACACAAAAACTCAAACTATAAACAAAAAGAGAACACACACACAAAACAAACAAACAAAATCATTGGACATTCCCTGGAGAGTGGCCACTCCATTGGAGAAAACTGATTTTCCTTCTCCCAGCAGGTATCAATTACAAATAGTTTCTTGGTTAGGGGTGTGTCCCCAAACTCAAAAGAAATTTGCTTTTAAATCTCTCATGAGCAAATATTTTCTCAAAGTAAATGCTAACTTTATTTAAAATAAATACGCACAAATTTTCATGTGAAAGGTTTTAAGTTAGGTTATCTTTAGAAGGTATATTCTGGTACCTCCCACCAAGGAATTACAACCTATGTCTGTCTCATCTCTCATCTTCCTTTTTCCACAATCCCTTTTCATCCCTTCCTTCCTGTCTCATATTCACATTTCCATATCTTAGAGTCATCTAAGATCAAACTATGTGAGTAAGAGGCCTGGCGAAGTGGTTCAGATACTTTCTACCAGTCTTGAGGGCCTGGTTTTAATCCTATATAATATGATTTAGAGTGGAACAGTTTATACTGCCATCAAGCTCCAGTGTTTCATAGGAAATAGAATTACAGAAATGGCTATAGGACAAACGCCTCTAAAAGTTCAAATGCCAAGTGCAAACTTTAAGGGAAAATCTTTATTTCTTTATCCATATGACTTCAGAAATGTTCAGAGCAAGATTCACCCAGTTCATTCTGGCTCTAAAGTTTCCTTGAAGCCTCCCTGTAGACAGATTTTGTCTTGAGTTACAGCCCAAGGTCCTGTTAACTACCAAGGTGATTGTCTAGCTCATTCTAACTCTTATCTGTCTGTCCAGATACCCTCTGTTATCAGATTCTAGATGCAAATTCTAGGAGTGGTTAAATTAAAGTCAATTTCTATTTTCTGAATTTCTCTTGTGTTGCCTTAGCTCAATTATTCAGCAACCTTAAGTCATTATCTCCTAGTGGCTTCCATTTCTAGTTATATTTAAGTTACATATTTTATGAGAAAGTTATAAAGCCTCCTCAGTGGAGATGTTTTTCCACACTAGAGCCAAGCGCTGCCTGTGGAGACATCATGGACCAACACAATCATCACGGTATCTAAATAGAGTTAGATCATTCAGGGTGTGTCCCTGGACCTCCAAGTGAAGTCAATTCCACCAAAAACTGAAGGTGGCTGTCAATTCAGGATGTAGGGAATGCTACTGAGGAAACCACAGTGTCCTTGTGTAGTGTTAGTATGTTCTGATAAGGGTTGCTTGAAGATATATTCAAATAAAAGGAAGTAGATTATCTGTAACATAATAGAAGTAGAATTAATGACAAATGGCCATACAGGTGTAAGTAGGTGACACAACCTGAATTTGAACCCCAGATCTGTCAAATTTGTCCTTGCTTTTCACATTTCTACTTTATAGTTCCCAAGGTCCTTTGAAGAAGAAAAGCCACTGATTCAAACCACCATTTTGCTGGGACCTGTGATGCCCAGAAGCTGATGGAAATAGAATCTGAAACTTTAAGCTTCAAGTATAGTAAAATGTAAATTAATCACAATGGTTTGTTTTTGTTTTACTTGCTAGATTATAATATTGATGTCAGCCAAAATTAAGACCATTTTTTTCTGTGCTAAAAAAAAATATCTGGCTCTTTCTCTTTCCCATGAGATGGCAACAATTTGGATTTTATGGAAAATTCACACAATAGTAATTATAGCTGGATCCGGTGGCTCACACCTGTAATCTCAACAGTTGGGAGGAGAACTGTGAGCATAAGATATCAAACAGTGTGCTTGTGTGTGCTTCTAGTCTTGAAACTTGGGAGATGAAGATGGGAAAATCAGTAGTTCAAACCAGACTAGGCTACATAGGTTGTTGTAAGCCAACCCTACAGGACATGAGACACTGAGAAAGAAAGAAAATGGGGGGGGGGGCAATTAAGTATTATGTTCTTTCATTCTTAAACCTCACAAAGCAATAGAGTAGGAGAAAAAAAGAAAGAGATCCAGTTTCTGGGAACAACTTTGTAAGGAGGGTCATATAAGTTGCAAATCCAAGAATGTCTAAGGAAATATATTTATTCGCCCAGATCTAGAACATGCTAGTAGATTTACAGGGATGGGAGAAAGAATTGGAGCAGGTTCCCAGCTTTCTCATGGGTAATGCCATGACAGAAGGATTGCATTTCATCTCCTCTTGCTCTTCTGAGTTCTCAAGTGAAGCTCTCACTCTGTGGTGACTTGAAGCTGAGTGTTTGGGTTCTCAGAATCACTTCCATCAGGGGGTATTCCAGATTCTGCAGACTTAGAAGGTGAAGAAATTGCCTAGAAAATGAAACGGCAGTTCTCAAGAAGAGGATTGTCATTTCCCTTCTCTATTCCATCCTTTCTTATTGCCACCATGGTCACTACCACAGATCCACAGATTTTCCTTCACCGATGATTACCCTGTTAAACACTGAATAATCATTATATGACTCAGGAGACAATCAAAACATTTTTATTTCCATTTCTATAGGTTGCTGCTACATATGTGGTTTCCAGAACTGAATGTGGAGATTGTGCAGGGGAAAGTCAATAAAAATCAAATGCTAACCTAACCAAGGTGTTTCTGGCCATGCCTGCCCCTGTTGAATTGCATGCCTTCACTACAACCTTAGCTCTGAACACACAGCATGCGGCTGCCACACCACAGAACGCCAGTGGGTGCTGCTCAGGTTAGAAGCTCTTTATATGTTATGAATGGCATCAACTGTAGGGGGCACTGTAACCACACCTCCTAGGGGCTGGCTACAGGTATGCCTGGCCACATCCCACAGGGCGTGGTGAATGTGACATCAGGGTGATGTAGAAGAGGTTTAAGAGTTAGGGTACGCACATGGTAGTTCTTTTTCCCTGCTTCATCGGCTTGCGCTGCTTACTACATTTCCTCCCAGCTGGCTAGGCTGCTCTGTAGGAAGGCATATCCCTAATAAAAATACCCTAATCTTCTGCTTACACATTGGTAATCCACCGCTTATAATCAACTTCTCTCATAAAAGCATAATAGTGTAATTATAGAAAACAAATCCATGTAATATTTTTCTACTATTCTTCCTTAGCATGTAAGCATCTAATCAGCATATATTTGGGTTGTTTTGTGTTAGAATGTTTGATTTTTAAAATTGCTGTTTGGATTGCTGACTTGTTTGATAAAACATTGTTGAATGAATTTTGACTCAGGATTAGGATAGAATTTCCAGCAGTTTTCAAAATGGCTATAAACATACTAACCATATTTGTATCATTTTTACTGTAATGCACAGTACTATTCTCAGCCTTGACAATAATAACATCAGAACATTAATCAACTCTCAGAAACAAGATAATCTCCACCCTGCAGCATCCAATATAAAGCCAAGATTTAATTGTTATGGAAAAATAAACAAGCACATTCATTTCATTAATATGCAACCTTGCTTTGGTCTTTAATAAGTGGTAAAATGACATACCAACTATTTGTTTTAAATAAATGCATTTATTCTTTATTATACATAAATGTTTGATCTGAATACCTATTTTGTATACCTAAATATGTAGGACTGTATAAAGCTTTCTTGGGCAAAAAGAAATTGAAAGTGGAAAATTTTAAGAAACCAAATTAGAGATCTAAATATCTATCAAGAATGTGTGGTCATCCTGAGTCATACAGCTCAAAAATAAAAGATTACAAGAAAATAATTAAAATTAGTTTAACCGAATGTTATTTACATGTTAAATGTTGCATTTAATTAAAATGTAAATTAATATATAGCTTGCATTTTCAAATCTGAATCATTTCCAGCCCTGCTTCATCTCACACTTTGATCTAATAAATAATTCCCAGAACCCTACAAGTCATAACCATATAAAAGTTTCTTGTCCTAAAAGTCAGGAATAACTTAATATGTTGTGGAATTTGCTGGTGATAGAACTTTCTCATCGCTTATACAAGCTCACCTTTCTCGAGCCACTAATGTTTCCTAGACACCACATGACTGAGACGGAAATGGTCACTGCCAACTCCAGCAGGGTGAGGATCAGCATTAGAGATACCAGGCCCTGGGGAAAAGATGTCTCACATCAAATCAGTGGAAACATTCAGAGGGAAAACTGTCAGAAAGAAACTAGAGTGCAAAACCCTCAGAGGGGAACGGAGTGAGACACAAATTAGACAGAAGGTCAGACTCACAAATTCTGAAGAAGGGATCCAGTATCAATACAAAATCATGAAAATATTGTCCTGGGAGAAAGATATGTTATTGCTAGATTGACCTATGTGAACTAGTCAAGAGGAGAAGAAATCATAAAAGAAAAATTCTGATACTATCACTAACACTTACCAGCATAATAAATTACAGAAATTAATACAGTTTAGTAAAATGAACAAAAAATGATCCCTTCATGATTCCATCAACAGGATTTAAGATGGGGAGGGATAGGCATTTACATTAGGCCAAAGACAAAAATACAGTTCTGGGAGAACCATAACTCATTACTGGAGAAATTTCCTTCCCATTATTGCTGAGCACCTAGAAGAAACACATAATCAAATTTCAATGGAGGGGAAAAATTTCTATGAAGGAAAAAATACCACTTAAACTGAAAAAACAGACACAGATAAATTTAAGTGATTAAAAGTATAATAAAGGAAAGCCTAGAGAGACAGTTCAGCAGTTAGGAGCACCCGTTGCTCTTGCAGAGGATCTGGGTTCAGTTCCCAGCACCAATATGTTTTGTCACAACCATCTGTAACTCCAGTTCCAGGAGATATAATACCTTCTTCTGACTTCCTCAGGCACCAGACATACACATAGTGCACATACATAATGCAGGGAACATAGGCAACATATCACACAGACATACACAATCTAGCTCACATATACATATACATATACATATACATATACATATACATATACATATACATATACATATACATGCATGTGTATATAGCCCAGTTGATAAAGTGTGTACCTAATATGCACAAACATTCCAGACTACAGAATAAGTTGTATGTCTCTGAAGTTTGTTTCATCAAACAAAGGTACGTGAAATAAATTGTTTAATGCATTCTCTCTGGAGAGTATAATAAATAGTAGCAATAGTAATGCAACATGATATCTAAGCACTGCTTTCATTACTTATCAACTATTATAGGTGCTACCCATTATTATCTTCATTTCAAAGATAAGAAAATTAAAATATATACAGATTGTCTAATGCCCTTCACTACAAAATGACTAAAAAGCAAAGCCAACATTCAAGTTAACATAGTATATAAGATACTGTTTTTCTGCATATTTTGAATGTTATGAAATATGTTATTAGCAGTTTTAAAGCATACATTTGATGAAGAACCCAGGCAAATGCATAAGTCAGGAGAGCGGGAAGACTGGCAACTCTTGAACTCCTCAGTATTGAGTGCCAAATGTACAGAAAGGAAAACAGTCCCAACAAAGGCAACTGTTGCACTGGCAATGTTCATCCCAAAACTGTTCTCCATCTAAAACAGAACAAAAAACCAGTCCATTAATGTACATAAAACATCCTTTAACACCTTGGCAACATTCCATTTAAAGAAGTATCTATTTATACTCCCAACAGCCTTCTAGCTGCAGCCAAAGCTCCCATGAACAAAGACTCCCCCATAGTACAATCTAGTACCAAAGACAGTGAAGAGGTTGGGGTACACAGCTCAGCTGGTAGAATACTTGCCTAACATATATGAAGCCCTAGGATCAATCTTTAGTACTGCATTAACTAGGTGTCGTTAAAGATGCCGGCAATTCCAGCACTCTGTGATAGCTGAGATTAAAATCCAAAGCTACCCTATAACACATGAAACCATATCTCATTTAAAGAAAATAATAAACACACTGACATATAAACTATGCCCTATTTACCTAAGTATTGAGGCTAATAGAATTGTATAACAAGAATGGAAATATAGTGAAAGGAGGGGACGTTTGTGACATTAAGTACTAATAACATATGTAGACAGGAATAAATAATTAAGCATTTCCCCAGATGCCCCAGAGGAAGTCTGGGTAAAGAAGACAGTTTAAAGTCCCTGAGGCCACAGTGTCCCCAGGAAACAAGGGAGCCAAAGTGCATAAGATTAGGAAACTAAGTCAGAATTAACAGAGAGATGTATTACATAAAGCCCTGTAATTCATGAAAAAAGTCTTTAGTTATAATTCTGAGAAAAATACAAAATTCTTGGAGCATTTAGCACAAAGAGGTGATAGATCAATAGCCTAAAAAGGGTCACTTTGTCTTTATTAAGAACAGGAAAAGAGGTTCACAAATGGAAGCAGAGAGCACACTTAGAGACTACATGGAATGCCATCCAAGGAAAGATGAGAAAAGGCCAAACACAAACTTGACTTGAAGATGGAGCCTATGTGATTTACTGAAATACTGGCTTCGGGAATGTGAAAAGAGAGATTGGGGTATACTCCTGTTCTTAATCTACGAATGTAGAAGGATGAAGCTTCCATCAGCTGACATGAAGATGAGATTTCACAAAACAGGTATGATGGATAGTAGAAGTTGGGTTTGGGAGATTCTAGACTTCTAAGTGGAAGCAAAGTTTATGAGCTAATTTGATGCTCAGGAGAAAAATCTTGGCAGGAGCATGTATTTCATGTATTTCAAGAGTGTGACCACAGAGGTGTCATTTTAAGCAATGAAAATGGCTGAAGTCATTGAAATAAATACAGGCTGAGCAGGGTAACTGCCAAAGATGGGAACATTGAGCACCCAGAATTAAACAGTCTAAAAAAAAAAAAAAGGAACTGGGAAAAGAGACTTCAAGGGACAGGAGGAATTGTCAAGATGTTCTGGAGCCCAAGAGCAAAATGATCAGGAGAGGAGGTAAGCTAAATGCTGACCTTAAGTGAAGCCAAGTGAAGGACAAGAACTGAGCACTGTTTTAGCAACCTGAACAACTTCCATATTCATTTTATTAATATTATTTTATTTGAATTAGAAACAAGATTATTTTACATGACAATTCCAGTTCCCTCTCCCTCCCACCTCCCCCCTCCCCCCCCCCCAATAACAACCTACCTATCCATACCCTCTCTGCTCACCAGGGAGGGTGAGGTCTTCCATGGGGGATCTTCAGAGTCTGTCATATCCTTTGGGATGGGCCTGGGTCCATCTTGTGTGTCTAGGCTCAGAGAGTATCCCCCTATGAGGGTATCCCCCTATGTGGCTCCCAAAGTCCATTCCTGTGCTAGGGAAAAGTACTAATCTACTACAAGGGGCCCCATAGATTTCCTAGATCTCCTCACTGACACCCACGTTCATGGGGTCTGGATCAGTACCACGCTGGTTTCCCAGCTATCAGTCTGGGGACCAAGGGCTCTCCCTTGTTCAGGCCAGCTATTTCTGTGGGTTTCACCAGTCTGGTCTGGACATCATCACTCCTCCTCCTCTGTAACTGGATTATACAGTTCAGTTCAGTGTTTAGCTGTGGGTGTCTGATTCTGCTTCCATCAGCTACTGAATGAAGGCTCTAGGATGGCATATAAGGTAGTCTTCAATCTCATTTTTAGGGGAGGACATTTAAGGTAGCCTCTCCTCTATTGCTTAGATTGTTAGTTGGTGTCATCTTTGTAGATCTCCAGACCATTCCCTAGTGCCTGAATTCTCTTTAAACCTATAATGTCTCCCTCTATTATCATATCTCTTATCTTGCTCTCTTCTATTTTTCCCCCAACTCAACCTTCTTGCTCCCTCCTGTTCTCTTCACCCCTCCTCTTCTCCCTTCCATATTCTTAAGGACAAAAGTTACAGAGGACAGGAAGTAAAGAAAGAATTGGGAGACAGTATACATAATTCCTTTTTAAAAGGAGTTTGGGGCCAGGCAGTGGTGGTACACACCTTTCATCCCAGCACTTTGGAGGCAGAGGCAGAAAGATATCTGTGAGCTCAAGACCAGCTTAGTCTACAGAGTGAGTGCCAGGACAACTAAGGCTACACAGAGAGACCTTGTCTGGAAAAACAAACAGAAAAATAAACTGCACCTAGCTATCAGGAAAATGTGGACATATTTTTCTTTGGGCTGCTAGCTCACAAAAAAATGGCATGGAGACATTATTGATTATGAAAGCTCAGCCTATAGCTTAGGCTTGTCCCACTAGATCATATAACTTAAATTAACCTATTTCTATTAACTACTTTCCTCCTCGTGGCTTTATTACCTTTACTTTGTACTGCCCGTGCTGCTTTCCTGCTTCCTTTGTGTCTAGCTGGTGACTCTGCCCTTCTTCCCAGCATCCTCTCTGTCCCCCAAATCCTGCCTAGCTATTGGCCAAGTTCAGCTTTTTACTAAACCAATCCAAGTGATAGATCTTGACACTACAAAAAGACTATTCAACAACAAGAAAAAATAATGCCAAGAGATAGATAGGTAGGTTGGTAAGCAGGCAGGCAGACAGACAGATAGATAGTAATGTGTTTATATGCTAATTTAAAGGGCCTAATAGGGACAAATTGGAGTTATGAATTTATATAGTGGAAAAGGACATGGTCTAGAACACCCAAGTAAGGGGATTAAGTTTGAAGAGTTCCTCCAGGGTAAGGCTGGAGGGAAACGTACACTGGGGTGATTTAGTGCACACAGCAGATGTCAGAATGTGTATGTCTGAAAGTCTCTCCATAGCTTCAGTTTCTCCGAACAGGGAGCAAGCCTGTCATTATGGAGTGGGAAGGAGAGAAAAAGACT